TAGGCTTCGCCAAATGCCGCACCATACACGCGATTCCTAAGTGGAATTGTAGCTGAAGCGAAGCGACGCTTTAACGAAAACCGCCGCCGAGCCGCCGCCGAGCCGCTATGTATAATACAATAGAACACAAGCCTAATAATATATTGCAATTGACTCGAAAATCGCATTTAACGCCAATAATTATGATAACATTAATGATTATCGCGATAATAGCAAGAGTAGTTGTAACAACAACAACAATAATAATAATAGCGACTGTGTGCACGTATTAAAAAGGAATCGTTGAAATAACTTATTGCTCTTTTGTAATTTCAATGATATATTTAGAGCAAAAAATTCCGCTTTATATGGGCGTAATTCATAATTTTGGGAAAACCTGACGAAAAAACTCAAGCAATCCAGTCACACAAACCCATTTGCATTATTTATTCGAAATCTCTCATTGTCGTACAATAAATGATTAAGCTTTTATTATATTTAAATTTTCCAAACTATATACATATATAGGGGGGAGAGAGAGAGAGAGAGAGAGAGAGAGAGAGAGAGAGAAGAAAGATCGCATAAATTTAATAAACTTTATTATAATACTTTTATAACACTTCTATTCTATTATATTTAGACTATATGAATTTTTAATTTTTAAAAGTATTTTCATTATAATTTCTCAATATATTATTAAATACGAAGGCGTATGTTTATACTAAAATAAATGTCGTATCTTTATCACTGGTAATATTTTTTTAAAAAGTACGTTACAAGCAACTGAATTCAATTACAATTGCATTTACTCCCTTAATTTTAATATTTATTTTGTAAAATATCTCTTAATTCAATATTTCTGTCAAAAAGTGAAAAAAGTACACGTGGCAGGTGGTACATTACCGATAAAAAACATTTCTCAGTAACCAGAACGAAGAAGCAGCACTTATTAAGTACGTGCTCTCAACAAAATTATCAACTCGGTACACTTTCCTCCATGAAGAAAACAAAGTGAAAAGCGACGAAGAATGATATTAATAAAAAGTAAACTTATCCCCGACGAAATAGAAACGTGCGGTGGGGCCTGTGACCTGCGATGGCGACCGCATAAACGTGATCGGAATTCAATCGACGTTATATCGACGCTACACGGGAAAACGTCAAACGGTGTAAAGTTCGATCATAAATCCACGCTTATCGAGGCAATCGCGTCTAAGGGGCAAATGCGAGGACACGGTAAGAAAATTTTCCGGCCCTCTTGCCTTCTCATTTACTCTATATCTTTCCTTCCCCTTCTCTCGTTCGCCGCTAACTACTCCCCCCCCCCCGCCAACACCACCTCGTCAAACGATCAACCCACGTCATTCGCTTCTGTACTCGCTCTAACACACGCGCCCTATCTCTCTCTCTCGCGCTAACTATCTTTTTCTCGATTTTCTAGACTACAAAAGAGAAGCATAACTGGGTATAACAGAAAAGGCAAGAGAAGTTTTTATTCTCTTAGTAGTATACGAAGTATCCAAAGTTTCATACTTTCATCAGGAAAAATTTTGTAGGAAATCAAACTTTCAGGAACGAAGGAATCGAACTAGAAGATTGGTAAAATAATACCACTGAAATGCGTGCTTTGCATGGCAATGAAGAATTCCTTTCTTTGTTTTATATAGCAATTAAATTAATTTGTAAGAAAAATAATTGATTTCTTTACATTATACAAAAGTAACTAAAAATTTAGGAATAAAAATAATCTTAAATAATGTATTAAAATTCTCGTTTAAAAGAAAATTACTTGGAGAATATTTTTAAAAATTAATCTAACATTAACCTACTACTATATAGGCAAGTATTATCTCTATATTATTGAAATGATTAATTTTTAAATAAAAAATATACTACCTTTGTTCTTTTTTTTTTTTTTTTTTTTATTTAATTTTTAGCTTATATCAATTTTTTTATTGTATTATTTCAATGAATAATGAATATAAGTAAATTTATAATGATATGCTAAATATTGAATTATAAACGTATCATCCGTTTATAATCAACAATCATGCAGAATTTTTTAAATAATGTAAAAAGAAAAGATAAAAACGAAAAATAAGGTGAAAATTGGAGGAAAGTTACTCAAATGTGATTGACGGCGTCCAAATTTACATTCTCCGCAACATTCTCCGCAACATGTGACCTTAAAAACACCGTCGGATAATCGCGAAAAAAGCGAAAGAATTTCAATTCTATTGATTCCCTTTTGTAGAGAGTCGAGGTAGTCAAATGAAGTGTGCGTGCTTTGAAAAACTTGTGGCCCGATAAACTTTAAGTTTTGTCCGGTAGTGCACGGACCTGAAAAAAAAAACCAAGAGAAAAAAGCAACAACACGCAACGGAGAGAAAAATAAATCAAAACCAGCGATTGAATTGCTTTGTGCATTTGAATAAGATAAAACCATATTTTTATTATATAATTACAACCACAACATCAGCAACAAAATTATCTACATAAAACAATGCCATATTTAAGTACAAAAGTTTCGAAATTAAAGAAATAAATTTTTTTTTTAATATATTAATCCACTATTAGTAATTTTTAATAATTTATATTTATAATAATGTCATGTTTCTTGAAATTTTTAATTTTTCGTCACATAGTATTTTTAAATATTTTTTACAAAATCTTTACAAAATCAAACAATGAATGGTTTATTTTAACAATATTAACATTTAATTTTAATTTTTATAGTTTATCGTTAGTTTCAATTACACAAGTTGAATTACCCAAAAATTAGTTATTTAATAGCCTAAATAAAAGATATTTATAGGGATTGGTAAAATGTCGTTTTTTCTTATAATGTTTTAAAATGAATATATTAGAGAAAATCTCACACGTATAGTGCTTGACTGACTAATTAGAAAATAAATTAAGTAAAGAAAAGATAATTTATAAGAATTTCGTGATTAAAAATTGAATTATTAATCATTATATTGTTAAATGTTTAACTACACATATGTAGATACACGTTTATATTCGTAAATATTATCATGATAAATTTAAATTTGTTTATCTAAAATAGTATTTATAATTTGTATATTGCTTTACCAATGTGAAGTTAAGTTCACTTCTTATAAATTTTCGAATACTTTATATATTATAACTTTGCCAATTGATACCGAAATGTCTATTATAATAACATTACCGTATAACCAAACAATATACGTTTTTTTTTGTTGAAATTTTCAATATAAATATGTCGTTGTATATAAACGGAAAGTGGCAAACCGCTATACATGAAAATTTCCATAACAAAAACATTTATCTGTATGGTGATTCGAAACATATACACACATACGCGTAATTTTGCGTCTGGTGAAAACACCTTGCTATCGCATTTTCAAATATATATAAACAAAAAGCAAATCAACGAAAAACAAAAGAAAAAGAGACAGGAAAACAGGACGAAGAAGAGAGCAGGATGAAAGCTTCTCGAGCAAGTCAATGGACCAGTGTACCACTGCTCCGCTTTCGGCAAGCATACAATGAGTAAAAGAAAGAAAATGTATGGAGTTGCTGGCAAACGCATTTCGCGTATGCAAATAAAGTACGAGGATAACCTAAGCGAGTGTGCGAGGTACAGAGAGAGAGAGAGAGAGAGAGAGAGAGAGAGAAAGTAGAGAAAGCAGGAGCGTAGGGGACTGCTAAAGGTGTCGGAGCGTGTGGAGAGGGGCGGGAGAGGAGTGTGCAGAATGAGAGAATGTAAAGAGGGAAAAGCTCCTGCGCTTCAATTTCGTGCTGGGCTATAAAATAAAGGATCGACAGACGAGCTGAATGCCGTGGTCGGAAAAAGCAGCTGGATCGATTGTCTCGGTAAATCGCGACGGGCTTTATATTTCAAGCGCGAAAAATGGATGTATAATGATGATGGCAGACAGCGCTTCGAATCCGTAGAACAATCGCGGCCAATGGAATTGATAGATCCGTATAGATCGCTCGAAAATACTCTCAACAACCGTCGTTTTTCTTTCTTTTTTCCTTCATTTCTTTTCATTTCTTTTCATTTCTTTTTCTTTTTTTTTTTTTTTTTTTTTTTTTTTTTTTTTTTTTTTTTTTTGACAGTAACTGCATTCTCGAATATCCGCCTCAGTATTCCATGCGTGCTATTATAATCAAATAACTTCCCTTCCAAATTCATTCTTTCCCGCCAATGTGACTCGCTTATCTTAAATCAGAAGAAGCGCGGCATGTATTATCGTTATGGCTTAATTAAGCGAACGCGCGCGCGTGCCGTCGCGTGTACTTAGTATGGGTATTAAATGGTAATAATCGGCACTCGCAATTCGCAAAGCTAAATTGGTTATTGAAATAACACGCGGACCGATTAAATATGGATAATAAAATATTGGATAAGAATAAATTATTAGGTCGGGAGAGATTTCCGCCTACTGTAACTGAATTTGCACGCAAAAAAACATGATTCTTGCTCCAATGCTAATATAAATCTGTGAGATTTATTCCTGAGAGTAAAAGGAATATAAAAGGAAAGGAGAAGAAAAGGAAGTAGTCGAGATGAGGTTAGTTGCTTAAAAATTCATAACATCTCTTCACCGAATAAAATAGCTCGAGAGTACTGATAAATAAAAGCAATCGCGTACTGCGTTATTTCACGCAAGATTCATTGCGCATCCAAGCACAATAATCGCAAGTGCGAAAATGTACTTCTTTAGAAAAAAGAAGGAAAAAAAGAAAAGAAGAAGAAAAAAACATACGCTGTACGGCATCTTAGCCGAAAGGGAATTGAAAATAGTCATTAAAATTAAATGAAGCTACGACTCTGAGTAAATAAATATTCCATCGGACGAATAGAGAACGTAAGGAGGTTATTGCCAGGCACGCACACATCCCTAACAATACACCTGTCTCGGCTTAAATACGCGCTTAAATAATCAGGTTCCAATTCCACGGTGTGGCGCTAGTTACGTGCATTTAATTTTTACGTGAGTCAAGTGACCTGAACATGCTTTCGGACTTACCGTAAGGCACGCAAACGGGCACCGGGTGATTCCAACCGTTGGCCGTGCAAGTGAGGATTTTGCTGCCCTTGAGCCTGCGCCCGGACTCGCAGGAGTAGACCGTCTGCAGAGAGCCATCCTTGAGGATGCGCTCGCGCACCGAACCCCATTGGGGCGCCTGGACCCGAGGACAATTGCCAGCCACCCCTGCCAAGAGAGCAACAACGAGATCCTTATTAGCAATTGCGATAGTGATTGCTGCCTTTGATTATAGGGAATAGTCTTTGGTCAAAGTTGCTTCCCGCCGTCAAGTTGGCTGCCAATGGTGGTGCAATTTTACATTCTCAATGTATTTGAAGCATCATTATTAAGAGAATGAGCGTAAGTATATATGGTAGCCGATTTATATGTGATTTTTTGGAAATCCAGAGATACAAGTCATGCATAATGTTAATATGTTTGTTGCTATTTTGTGCCTCGCCAGAGGCAAATGTTAATCATTTATTCTGGAAATTCGTAGCATTATAGGATTTTATATATTTTTCAATTTTATCAATATTTTACCAAAATTTTATCAAAATTGAAATTACTTTAAACTTTAATCTGTATCCAGGAATACAATTTTCTTACTATTAAAAATTATTACATGGAGTTTCAATTATTTCGCTTAACTGTAAAGAGTTGAATAATATATTCGAAGATACTTTTCAGTGACATTATTTTTGAGAATTGAATAAATTTTATTATTTACCTGATTATTAGTTAATATGATGATTCGACATGTAATTTTAATATCGTTAGACCGACTTTTTTTTTCAATTTTTTTTTTTTTTTTTTATTAAAAAGGAATAAAGTGTGCTTTGACTGAATTAACATTGCAATCTTTATTAAAATTGTAAAGAAAGTTCTTATGTCGTAAACCATCTGTCGTTACTAAATAAGACGATGTAATTTCTTATACTTAGACTTGAAATGAAAATTCATTCTTCCAAACTTCCTTCACAGTTAAGGAAATCCATTATTTATGAAACACTGACTTCATTTGCAACGATACAATGACAGATAATCCAAACTTCTTATAGCATAAATCGTTATTCTTAGCAAAATTTGTTACATAAATAAAATTTAATGTATTTAATGATTAAATTTCTTTTTCAACGCTTACTTTCATACTGTATTTTTTAATTTTTTAATATAATTTTTCAATCCACTTGAAGTAATAATGATATTACATAATACATGATTAAATACATTAATTAAATATATTGAAATATAAATTTATGTTTTAATATAGTTTTAATTTTCATTATTAAATGACGAAAACATAAAACGTTCGAATACTAGTAGTCGATGATTCATAGACAATATTATGGGAAACGTGTCAAAGTCCGTTCACCATGTGCGCAAATTAAAACAATGAACAGACTTTAAGTTGTGTCAAATATTAGTATGAATGCACTTTAGTAAAGAGTATTACAAAATGAAGACGTATACTCTCTTTCTTCGTGAAAGCATGAAAAATACATATTAAACAATGAAGAAGGGAATAGATCTCGACAAACCCGTCGGGAAATGAAAATAAACACGAAAAATCTATGCGAAGAGAGAGAGAGAGAGAGAGAGAGAGTGAGAGAGAGAGAGGGGGGGGCGGAGAGAGAAGGATGAAATATACACTCTTAAATGTAAAATATATATCAATAATCTTCCTACAGTTGGTAATTTTTAATATTTGATAGAAAATACTTGACGTTTTACAGAATTCATTTGATACAATTGGAATAATATTAAAACTAAAACATTTAATGCGAAAAATAAAATTATTTCAAAACTATTTAAAAATTTATCTTTTACGTGATAAAACTGTAAATTTTTAACTTTTCAAAAATTCATGAATTTCATTTTAGTTAATATTTAAAATAAGGTATAAATTATTTAATTTTTTTCTTTTCATTCAAATTTTTTCTAAATACCTTTATAATCTATTCAAATGATACTTAAAATATTATTTATTTATTATTTATTATGTCAACTATAACAGAGATAAAACTTTGTGTATATAAATAATTAAATTAGATTTTTAATTTGTTGCTCTTTGCATAAAAATATTGTAAAGAAATAAAATGCAAAAGCACATTAATGCGTAATTATTAATTATGTTTGAAAATATTAAAGGTCCAACTTATTTGAAGTAGAATTTATTTGAAATTATAGTAATGCCTGTATTATTTAATGCATTAATTCGTTAGAAAACTGACCTTGGAAAGATATTTTCTTTTACATTTTTAAATTATTATCTCAATCAAATTACAAAAAATTACTAGAAATATTTATTATGAATTTGAATAATTATCATAATTATTATTCGATACTAATTATTATTATAGTAATTGATATTAGTAATAGACAGATTATGTATATATGTTATCAAAAATTACACCAACACTTTCTATATAAGCAAATTACATGAATCGTTTCATCGTAGAAATTAAAATTTAAATAACTTAATAATACTTAATTTGCAATTATTACTTTATATGCGCACCTTCATATAATTCTATATTTGCACGATGGCCACAGTATGAAATGTTAATTACTCTATTTTATACGTTCATTTGTTACAGTAAAGTGTATTTTAAATCTGAATTTTTACACTCTTTATAAATTCTAGACGTTTGATTCTAAGAAATAATTATATTTAAGGGATCATTTCGTTTATTTCGTTTCTATTTGGATATTTAAATTATCAACCTCTGATTGATGGTCTGATGGTTGAATATATCTTCGCTATTAAGGGTAAATATTTTATAATAATGATACTATTAAGTATCATATTAAAAATTGTAAATCTCAATCGGTTATCTATTTTTTACCAATAAATTAAATATAAATTTTTTAAATAAGTTTGAAAGTCAATCAAAATTCACATTTACTTACGTCAATAATAATTTCAATATTTATTAAATGTAAATTAATAGTATGTTTATTATATGACGTTCAAATTTATATTCAATTACCATAAATTTAATCTCTACATAATTTGCCTTTCAGTTTTGATATAAAGTTTAAGTATTTGCTTATCCGTATTTTTCAAGACTCCGCATAATTTATCACTGCAGGTTTTCTTAAGTGTTGCACTCTACCCTAAAGTCTAACTTATCTGCATATTAAAATATTGAAAATAATGAAATTTAAATCATTCTTATAATATACAGGCGTTACATTTATTCTCGTGAATTCCGATATCAGAATACAAATAATTATTTTAATCGACCAAAATATATAAATCTTTGGAAGATTACCTATTACAGGAGATTTTGAAATAAAATAATTAGCCCAAGTCGCGTGCTCCTACTATGAGAGTTAACGGGCTTGCTTTAACCACATCTCATCTTGAATAATCAAGTCTTGTATAACCAATAGCCTAAAGTGTCTTCATGTCACAATGAAAAGTTATGGCGGCGAATAAAGCCATTGAAGAAAAAAAAAAGCGATGAAAGGTACCAGTGGACTCGATAATTAAAGAAAGTCTATACTAAAACCCGTCGAGAGTCTCACTTGGATCTGCGGTTAAGAGGCCTAAGTGTCCGAGCAGTATGCATGAAGATGACGTGAGATAAGCGACGTTTTTACTCCTTAGTCGCAACAAGTTTACCGTGGAACTAATTGATCTCTCGCACGCATCGAATTAAGAAAAGTGAAGAATGAGCGAGACGGTGTAGGAGATGTAGACTAAATTAACATGTCAAAATGTAGTGTGCATAGCTGCGCATCTGCCCTTGCTCTTTTATCTTTCCTTTGTTTTTTTACTTTTCCTTTCCGAGATTGGCGATTTTCCTTTTTACTGTTCGTCATGGCTCTCTTTTCCGACATTTTCCTCCTATTTATTGCAAGTTTTAAGGTTTTGTATGCGGTGCTCGTGGGACGTAACACATACGTAAAAGACGATT